CCCCCCTCCCCCTCCCTCGCCCTGTCCCCTCCTCCCTTTCCCCTCCTCCCCTGCCCCCTCCTCTCCTGCCCCCTCCTCCCCTGCCCCCTCCTCCCCCGCCCCTCCCATCCCGCCCCCAGCCGGCCCGGAGCGGGAGGCGCCCTCGGAACAGATGGCCGCCGTCCTCGCCCAGCGCCTCGCCAGTTAATTAACGCCGCCTGTAATTAAACTTCCCACAAATTAGCTGTCAGCGTCGCTGAAGGGAGCCGTCCTCTCGGATGCCACCTTGAGCGGCATCCCGAGTCTCGTCAACAGGCTAATTGGGGCGGGGGCGGGGTCTCCCCTCCCCTCCCCCCTCCCCCAGTGTCTCTCTCTGCCCGGCGACTCCCTCTTGTTTCGTGGACTCGCACCCGGCTTGTCCTCGCTGAGCACCTACTGTGCGCTGCGGCGCCCTGGGCCAGACCTCGGGGCGGAGGAGCCAGGCTCCCCGGCGCTCTGCGCATGTGCGACCGTCAGCTAACCAGACCGAGTCCCACTTCGCCCCGGCTTCGCAGCCCCGGGCGGTGTCACCGGCCCCAGCAGCTGCCCCGGGACACCAGCAGGCGCCACTTTCTCCCACTCGGGAGACACCAGGCCCGACCGTGCGTGGCCCGCGATGCGGCCGTCGGAAGGGAAGGCCGCAGAGGCTCCGGGGCCCTGGTGAACCGCGGGGCCGCCCCTGAGTCCCGGGCTCCAGAGCTCAGGACTGAGCACAGGCCAGCCCGGGCCAGGCGACCCTGCCTCAAGAAGCAGGGGCTGAGCTGCTCGGGCGCCAGGCTTCTCCCCAGCACTCCTGAGGGAGAGGCCAGAACAGCCCACAGCGAGGACCAGACCGAAAGACCCCTCAAAGGTGAGGGGGTGCGGGAGCCCTCTCCTGACGGCCGGGCTAGCCCGGAGCCAGGGGTCACCATTTGCCTGCAAATTCCATCATTTCCTCGTTTTTCATTGCTGAGTAGTATTCCATTGTGTAAAAATACCACAATCTCTGTATCCATTCCTCCACTGAGGGGCATCTGGGCTGTTTCTAGGTTCTGGCTATGACAAATAAAGCTGCTACAACATGGTTGAGCAAATGTCCTTGTGTACTTGAGCCTCTTTTGGATATATGCCTAGGAGTGGTATGGCTGGATCTGGAGGAAGCACTAGGTCTCATCTTAAAGCAGACCCGGTCTTTCACTTTGCCTAGCCTGGCTTCCAGGGCAATTTGCACCTGCATTCTCCACGCTGGGAAAGCTGAGGCAGGAGGATTGTCATGAGTTCAAGGCCAGCCTGGCTTACTATGGGAAACTGTGTCAAAATGAAATGAAACAAAAGAATAATAAATGTAGATCTAAAACAAGACTTGAAAAGAATTGAAAGTCCTTAAAAAAAACAAAAAACAAAAGACGAGGGCTGGCAAGATGGCTCAGTGCCCAAAGGTGCTTGCTGCCAAGACTGACTACCTGAGTTCCAGTCCTCTGTCAGGCTGGAAGGAGATCTGACTCTAGCAAGTTGTCCTCCGACCTCCGAGCTGGGTGGGGGCCTCACTGCCCCTCCCCCGCCCCAGTAAACAATAAAAATGTCTTTAAGAAACTTAAAATAGGATAAAGAACCAAGTAAGCTAAAATAGCTTAGGGATAAATAGAAAATGAAATGCACACTTGGCAGTTCGGGCGCCGCACCCAGCGTAGGTGAGGGCGGACCACGGGCGCTCCGCGAATGTTCACGGGTGGGGAACTGGCACACAGTAGGTGCTGCCTAAGGGTGCGCAGGAGGCATTCAGCGCGCTCGATGACGGCAGGGGCAGGAGGATCGGGGGTTCGGGGCCAGTTTGAGGTCACAGTGCGCTTGAGCTAGCATGGGCTACGGGTGACCGGTTCGCCGAGCGGTTCGCGCAGCCTTGGGGCTGCCCAGGAGGACGCCGGCTGGTCGCCTCGCAGCAGCCAATCAGGATGCGGAGCATGGCATTACCTCATCGCGAAGCGCTGCCATTGGCTGCGGGGTCCGCGGCGGCGGCGGCGGCGCCTGCGCGCAGACTCCGGGGCCTGAGGGCGCCTCCCCGCCCCGCTCCCGGAGCCTCTCCTCCCCGCCCCGCTCCCCGAGCCCTCTCGGCGGCGGGAGCGGGACTCTCCGAGCTCCGGCCCAGTGCGCGGACGGCGGCGGGCGGGGCCGTGACGTCACCAGCCCGCCCTCCCCGCAGCCCTGACTTAGTGGGATCCCCAGGTCCCTCCTCTCGGTGGCCGGACCCGGCCGTCGTCGCCGGCAGCGACTTCAGCGCGTCACCCGGCCCTGCAGTCCCCAGCCTTGAGCTAGCCTCTGCTATCCAGCAGCTGTCTCTGTCCCCTCGGGCCGCCGCGCGCGTACACACACACACGCGCGCGCGCATGGCCGGTGTCTTCAGTCATTGAACCCCGAGCTTCCCGAGCGGCCAGACTTCCAGCGAGCCCTGGGTCCCCCGCTCCCCCACCAGCGCCGGTGAGCACCCGAGGCCTTCGCACAGGCTGGAGTAGGAAAGGCCCCTTCCATGGCCCCTCGGGGCCCTGCGCCACGTGCTCCAGCGTCCCACGTGGGCCGGGGAGCACAGGGGTCCCCGTTTCTCCTCCTCCTGATAGGCAGGCCTGGCTCCACGTGAGTGCTCAGCCACAGAGGCTAGAGTGGGGCCAGACCCAGGCCTGTGGCCCTCTCTGGCTCCCGAGCCTCGGTTTCCCCTGGCTGTTAGCGGAGGTGGGACACTGGAGAGGCGACGATCGGTGTGAGGCCTCAGTGCCACGGACAAGGGGAGACGCCATTGGCAGGGGCAGGGTGTGCACCGATGGAGAAGAACCGAACTCTTTGTGGCATCTGGTGGCCCCCTGACCTGCCTGGCACGGTTACACGTTCAGTGTCTTGGTGCCCTGAATAAGCACACCGTCATCTTCACCATCACCATCACCTTTAACCACCATCACCATCATCACCACCTTCACCATCATCACCACCATCATCACCTTCACCATTACCACCATCAGCACCACAGGACCAAACCACCACCACCATCATCACCACCTTCACCATCAGCATCACAGGACCACAGTCATCACCATCACCATCCTCTTCACGTTTCCGATTTCCCAGCCTTCGCTGCGCACCGTGGACCTTGGACGCTGCCCTGCCTTGCGGCCGCGGCCTTTGTCCGGCAGAGCGTCCGCCCTTGCTCCCGCGTGGCTGACGAGCGGGAGCAAGGGGGTCGGCGAGCGGCGCCCACCCCCGTCCACGCGGCCGGGGCGGGTTTGCAGATGCGCCCGTCCCTGGCTCGGCGGCGCCCATCCCCGACAAATCGGCAGACTCAGTGCCCCCCTGGAGGGAGCGCTCAAGGGGGCCTGTGCTGTGCGCGGCCGCCCCCTCCCCGGGAGCCCCGCTGGCCCGGCTGCCGCTGCACCCAGACGCAGGCCGGGGGCTGACTTCACTGATGTGAAAGCAGGGGTCGCCTGGGCCAGGGCGTGAACCGAGCTCGCGGAGGAGCAAGGACAGAGGGAGGGCCCGTGCGCCTCCCCCCCCCCCCCCCCCGGGGCTGGGCCGAGGCAGAGAGGGAGACGGGCGCCTGGGAGGCCGTGGGGACGGACCCGGGCAGCCCTGGCCCTTCTGAACTCGCGGGCCTCCCTCTAGCCAGCCCAGCCCCTCCCTGGGGTGCTCCAGACCGTGTCCACCCGGACCACGCCCCAAGCTGCCCCCAGGGGCGAGGACCGGGCTTCTGAGGCCTGTGACTGAGTGGTGTGGGCTGCGGCAGCTGGGCCGGAACCGCCCTCCGCCCCACGGCACCTACGACAGCGTCCACGGAGCGGCCTAGCTGTCCTAGAACCCCCCGCCTCCCAAGCAGCGGCGTCACAGGCGTCCACCACCAAGCTTACGGGGACCCCGCTCCAGCCCCGGCTCCCCGTGGCCCTCTCACGCCCCAGAGCCTCTGCGCGGGTGGGTTTGACTTCTCGGGAAGCCTTTCCCGGGGCTGGCTCACAGCTCGGGGGCTTAGCCCACGGTCACCGAGCACAGGCGCGGCGGCCGAGGCCTCACATCCTGC